CTAGATCTCCGTCACAGCCTCATGAAACTTGAGATCTGGACACAAATGCCCTAAATTACAACATTCACAACATGATTGGAATAAATATCAGAACTTGGAAACGCAATATAGATTCTGATTGTCACAATATTAGAGAGAGAAAATGAACACGAGGACCTCCCAAATGTAAATCTCAAAAGCGAAGATATATGTGATCTATAGATACAAACAGAGACACAAAATGAGGTACCTGGTGGAGGAGCTCTGCCAGATCGGTGGTGGAAGAGGTTGGATCGCCACTGAAGTCGCCTTCCAGGGAGCTACGCGAAGAGAGAGAAACGGCGCTGAAAAATGCCCTAAAATCTGATATGCGACCTTATATACGTGATATCACTGCTACAGTAAAAACGAGGGTTGGTTTGGTTTTGGTTTGAGATCAATTCACCGCTACAGTGCCATATCAGTCTAATATCACCAAAATGTTGATATGGGTTTTGGCCCAAAAATGATAATGTTTTGGCACTGTTAAATACCATATCAGCCCGTTCCAAACATGATATTGGCCCAAAACCAAAATCAAAACACCAAAACAATATCAGATATGGGCCTCCGAACAGGCCCTTTGGTGTTTGATTCTCGGGAAAAAGAAAAAAAAGAAAAAGAAAAAGAAAAGGGGTGATGCCTTTAAATTTAATGTTAAAATCTGTTTTACATGTGTTTTGTTTTTATTATTTTTATTTTTGAATGATTACAGTATCGATTTTGACAATAAAAATATGTTTAACTTTGTTATATTTTAGAGTAAATTACACCGACACCCTCTGAAGTTAGGTCATATTTCACCTATATAAAAATTTTGGTTTTAATTTTCACTTATACCCCAAATTGCTTTTTGAACTTTGACACATGTGAATTGACCTATTTACCCTCACCTTTTTCAATACAATTTAATACAAAATTTCTACAAATTAAAATGGCAAAAATATCCTATGAAATACTAATATTCCAAATCACTATTTCCCTTTTCTCTTTCACCTATCTAAAAAAATGGGCAGCAGTAGCCGTAGCACATCACCACCGCTTCCCCTTCCACTGTCGTTCAAGTCACTATCGCCATCACAGGTTGGTCGGAGATTCTCATCTCGCCAGGGGCAAAACAGGAAGCTTGCTTATGGTGAAAATCATTAAGAGCAAATCACACACTCCCTCTCCCGTCAAAGTTCCAAAACACCTTCTTAACAATCACCACACCACACCACACCACCGGACGATTCGATGACCATTGATGTAATTTGTGGCGGCGGCGGCAGTGAAAACAATCTGCAACAATGATAACAACACACCACAAAACGATCCGACAATCATCGACGCAATTTCCAGCGGTGGCGACGGCAGTGACAACAATCTGCAATAACGATGACGATCTGTGACAACGATAGCCTTTAAATGGGAAAATGTATCCTCGTCGTAGCTGGGGCTACGGCGGCGTCAATTCCGGTGGCGATGGTGCAAATGGTGTCGCCTTCGAATTCCGGCGAGGAACAAGTAATCTCATCGAAATTGCTGCCGTCGGCTGGTATTATGCTGCGCCGAGATAGAAGCTGCGGTGTAGAGTTAGATTCACAGCCGACGAAAAGCAGCGATTTGTGGGTTTTGGGCAGAGTTTCCCTTCTGGCAGAGGTCCAAAGTAACATGCGGTGTTGGATTCACAGGCGCAGATGATGGAATATACGATGGGATGTTTGTCGGGTCGGGTGTGTTCAAAAGCTGTGACCAGGCGAGGCGTGCTCAGGCAATTGTTCAGATCCGGCTGCCTCGACTTGCCCAAAGGCACAGAAGGCAACAGTGAAGCGGAAGATGCCACCGACAATGATGGAGGAGGAGGAAGAGAAGCCGACAATGCCGTCGACAGGTCAGAAAATAGACGGCACACAACCACCACATAGATATATAGTGTGTTTATGTAGATATAGATATATAATGTATATGTGTGTTTGACTGTATTTATTAATTTTGTGTATAAATTAAGGTTTGGTAAGGGAGGGGAAAAGATTGTATATGTGTGCTGATGCAACCCGAGCGTGTGCACAAAATAATGCACAACACTTTAGGTTTAGAAATAATGTCAAGTGGGCATCATATTTTAAAATTTATAAAACCACTAAACACTTATACTATGTAGTATGAAGCGAGTAGGGATCGAACCCAAGGGATTGAACACGTGTTGGGATTAAACTTGATTTTAGTGCTAATGAGATTGCACAAGAGAGAGAGAGAGAGAGAGAAAGATTTTTGGTGAAGTGATTAAACTAGAGTTAAATTGAAAACATGGAAATAGAAATGACAATGCAAGTAAATTAAATTAAATTAAACTAAGAATTAAAGATATATGAAGAGAGTCTTAGGGTTATGATTCACCACTAAGCCCATGCAATTAACCATATACTTTCAATTAATGGGGAATTCATTAGTGTAATTATAGATGTGGTCACATTATCATCACAAATCACAATTGTAAGCATAGATTATCAACATCAAGAATGAATTGTCTACCTAATGGCAATTAAACTAAAGTGTAGAACCCATTCAAGACTACGTCATAACCCACCATACACATTCACAAATGTGTCAAATAAGAGCACACATCAATCAAGAGAATAATACTAATTGTAATTAGAAGTATGGATTAACATAATCAAGCACAAATTGCCTACTTAACTACAATTAACTAATAACAAGAAAGCTAATTTTTAGAACAACCCATCAAGATTAAGCCTTTATCCATCAAATTAATTGACAAATGTATCAAATAAGTATCATGTTATGGCCATCACTAAACATAACTACAAGAAGTATTTAATGTAGAATATAATTCTAAAGCAACCACACATAGACATGCAAATTACATATAGAATTAATGAAAGAATTAAGTTCTAATCATCTAATGAAGAATAAAATCCCTAATTAATCATACATAGACATACAATTAATTGGAGATTTCAATGGAAGAATTCATCATTACAAACCCTAATTTATCAAATCAAGCATGTATATATAAAGAAATCACAAGGCCATATAATTTAATTACAACATAATAATTCCCCAAGAAAAGAAATACAAAGGTTAGGGTTACATGAACTTAGGGCTCATCTATGCCCTAAGTGAAGAATTAGCTCATGGAGAAGATGATCATGGTGTCAACAAGCTCCATCTCCATCTTTTGGCTCATTTTTCTTCTTCCTTCAATTGTAGACAAAGCCTCTATAAAAATGTTCTTCAACCCCTACCTTTTCTTTTTTCCTAGAGAGAACGTGATATCACGGTGCAGAAAAAAAAAATTAATAATTCTAATAATATTCACCTAAATAAAATAAATATTAACCTTAATCTAATGGCTCACTGGGCCTTAAGTAACAACTCTATTAAAGCCTAATAGTTCACAAAATAAGCCCAAACAATAAAAAAAATCTGTAATGTTGCCAACTCTTGGTGGATCGATCCCCCCAGAGTTGGAAATTTCCTTTAAGCCTTATTTAGCTCCATTTTGGTCTCGGGCTTATTGGTTTGCTTCTTCATCTTTGGGAACATTATCAAAGGCCCGAGATTGACCGCTTTCGAAGAATAAACACACTATACGAGCAGTGGGCTACGACCTCTTTTTGTCATTTTCTGAACTTTTTCTGAATATCTTTTCTTAACTCCAAAAAGGCTTTAATGGACCGTTCTTAGCTCATTTTAACTTTATTGCCCTGAAATACACATAAATATAAATTAGGACTAAAACATGAAATTAAGATAGATGCAAAGACTGAAATACCCTACCTTAGATGCTGAAATGTGCAACATTTAAGCACTTATCATGTGCGAGTGTGTATATATATGTATGTGACTTGTGGTGGTGACTGGTGGTAGAGGTGGCGGGCATGGGTCTGTAACATTCTTGGTTTTGGAGAAGATGTGCATGTGTTTTTGTAGAGGGAGAGTAGAGAGGGGTAAGTTGGGTGAAGGGTATTTTTGTCCTCAAAAAATTAAAATATCATTCTTGTAAGTTAAGAGTTAGTCAACAAGGGCAACATAGTCATTTTGCATGTAAAAGTACTCTGCCACCCATGAAAAATGACATTTGGGGTGTGAATGAAATACTAAACTACTAATTCAAATATATGTGAAATCCAAAACCAAAATCTTCATCTAACTGAAATATGTCCTAACCTCGGGGGTCTGAGTGTAATTTATCCTATATTTTATACAGTGTTAAAACACTTCGTGAACCTAACATTTTTGTTTTCAAAATCGTATTTTCGATTTTTACTAAAACAATCCACCCACAAGTGCAAAAGAAAAAAATGTACAGTAAATTAAATTTGTCAATGAGTGTAAAACATGTGTGCAATGGGAACATGTACATGTGATTAGAATTTGTGTCAAAAATTATAAACGCGTGGTCAAATTAATTGGGTTTAGAATTCAGTGTGTACATGCACGTGTGGCCCTCAAGTTATAAAAGAGTAGTAGTGTAAAAGTAAATAAATATATATATATAGTTATAAAAGAGTAGTAGTGTAAAAGTAAATAAATATATATATATATATATATATATATATATATATATATATAATGATTTAAAAAAATCTAAGAGTTTTACCTAAATTGAGATTTGAAAACTCTTGTACACTCAATTAAGAGTGATGTGAGACTCAATTGAACTAAATGAAAAGCTCAAGACTATACCTGTCAAATAAACTCAACTAAGAATCATGTGAAACTCGATTTAATTTATCGAGATGTCTTCTCGGGAGTTTGTGTACATGATCTGTGTCGAAATTTGCTACCAATGTAATTTCTTATGACCTAATGTTCTCTTCATCAATACCTCAACTATAAGTTTTGTCACTTTGAAACAGAACAATTTTGTGATATATTCCTATTAGGTCTGGCATTTCAAAGATAATGCTAAACCTGAATCTACCAGAAGCAATGAGAAACCCTAAACAGTTCCATTTTCGTAAACATTTCATCATGCATTTTTGCAACAAATTAAATAATGATACCAAAATGTCTTGACGAACAATCATGCAAGGCAAAAGAAATCAAATGCGACGCTGGGTGTTGAATAGGCCATGGAAAGTATTTTGGAGGCTATAAAGGTGTTCGCTGCTTCGCTGTAATGGATTCCATCCCAACTTATATATCGAGATCCCAAGTTGCAGACTTGGTAGCCAGTCCGACCACACGTTACCTGAATGTTATAGTTGTATGGTGGTCCTCCATAGCCGCAACACGCCATTAGTGGATTTGAGAAACCTGAAAGGTGAAATAAGAACTATAAGCTATTAAAGATGTCAAGCTTTATTTTTCTTCTTGAAAAGATTTCTCAACTGAGTTGGAATATCCATCAAACACTGAAAATTTGATTCCCCGAGCATTTTAAGAATTTGCACAAGTTGAGTGAACTTGCATTGGATCAATGTTAAAAAAGAAAAAAAATGAGGGAGGAAACTATTTAAATCGGAACCAATAGGCCAGTCAGTGGCCTAGCAGTAGCATACTCTTACTTTCCAAAGGGAGCTCACGGGTTCAGACTTCAGTGGAGGCATGTGTGTACGAGTACCAACTAACAAAGAAAAAAAAATCTAAATCGGAGAGTACTAATAACTTTTAAGGTACTGATATCATGATACATCAAAACCTACAAAATTGAAGTAATCAAAATCCTTCAATTGATAATTTGTTAGCACAAAAAAGTTTAAATAAACCTAAGGACCTTTGGCCCAATGGTATAACCTCCCCATCCTTAAAGAAGAGGGGAGGGGTTTGAGCGCAGACATGGACAAAAAGGGTGTGTTTTTGCTTTATCATTCCCCAAAAAAAAAAAAGAAAAAAAAAAAAAGAAAGAAAAAATCTAAAAAAAATTGTCCACACAATGAACTTAATTCATCCTAGATGGAATACTTCTATATATCTAGTTCTTAAAATCCTTTTCTGTCTTTTGGTTTTTGTTTTTTCATCTGAAACTCATGCAAGACAATTTAAGTTTACGAGGATCCTCCAGCTCTCTCGATGCATCTTACTATCACATGAATGTTCTAAGCACTAGCAAATTAACTCTGATCCCAATCATCATGATTGCAGCATAAAAAGGGTCGGAAAATTTTTAACTCACTAATTGGAAAAAAGATAAATTTAATAAGCTTACCGTATTTGCTAGAGTTGGCAATTAGATCATACTTGATGGCATATATATCTACATAGACAATCATAGCATCCTTCATTTCAGATCTCATTTCTTGGCATAATTGGCATAATGCAAGTGGATCATACTTGATGTTGTATTGTTGTTGTTGTTTTATTTTTATTTATTCAACTTTGAAATGATAGAATTGAGGCTTTTGATGATTGCCTTAATAGAATTAAGACTGTATTTAACATTTTGTGATTGAGCATTAGTGATCCTGTTGCTATACACATTGAAAATATTTTTGTGAGACTTTCATTTGTTTTTTAAATTCAGTTTGACCGTTCTTTCATTAGATACAGTTTGAAAAATGGATTATAATACACATTCAAGCAGTTTTACTATAAAGTTTAAATTTTCTGTTATTGATGTGTTCATATTTTCAATTATGAAAAAAAAAAGATGTGTTCATATTTTCACACATATCAAACCAAGATGAACAATTTTTTTTTTTTTACTGGACTTGCTTTCATCTTTATAATATTTACATCTTTTAGGTTTTTTTTTTTTTTAAATTTTTTGTTTTCCTTTTTGTTTTGATACTAGTGGATGGCATGCGAAATTTGCATGTGAGTTATAAACTTTAGAGTTATTTAAAACTAAGTAAATTATTATCTTAGCACCAACTTTGAAACATATTGGAAAAAGTAGCTTTGCTCTGTTTCTTTCACATTATATGATTTACACATTCTCTACTTTTTGAACATTATCCCAATAGAAAGCGTGAACAGGGAAATGAGTTTAAAAGTCTACATATTCAAGATAAAGATAATTCGACAGAGCATGTGGAAAAATCTGAAGGTCAAGGTTCTGAAGGAGCACAAATGTTCCATTTGCCAAATGGTTAGTAATATTCTCTTTCTTCTTCTCCCTGTACGCATTTATACTTGCATATATATATGTGTGTGTGTGTGTCATTATATTTTTATTTTGATGCCGAGAAGAGGGAGGAAAAAAATAGATTAATATAACGTAAAATTGAATTGGTTTTCTTATAATTGGGTACCCAAGGAAAAAGTTTAAAAGCATTAGAACTTGATGAAATTACTTGGTTTTATTGAGTTTTTAATCCTGCTTCATCTTTTCTTCTTTCTTCTGGAAACTACAAAAAATATAAAACAGCCATATTAAGATCTAGTGTATTTCTAATCTATGAAACATCTTATTTGTGATTTGTATTTTCTCTCAAATTTAACAATAAAATTCTGAAACTTCTCATAATTTATGTGGCTTAAGATACAGACTCCAATGAAGGACCGAAGAAGACGGCTTTACAGCCTGGAGAAAGTTCTTTACTAAATTTTCAACCTCATGTTTCCACTGGCGTAGCCACATCCATAGAATCTCCTTCATCCTTCCCAAGAACTGAAGAGGTAATGCAGACAAGTTCCCAGACTGAACTAAGTTCTGTACCTAATTCTAAACCTGGTATTTCCACGAGAGGAGTTGCTGCCATGGAATTTCCACCTTCGCCTCAAACTCACTCCTTCAATAATGATGACAAGGGTGCTCGACCACCCTCTCTTTGCATAGCTGTCATTGGAGCTACCGGTGAACTGGCGAGGAGTAAGATTTTTCCTGCACTATTTGCTCTGTATTACAGTGGCTTTCTTCCTGAGGTAGAACTACTTCAATAATTTTATTGCAGTAGTTTTTTTTTTTTTTTTTTTCCTTCCAGTTGAGCTTACTTTCTTAACTTGTATGAAATAGTAACTGATATTTCTAAATATGTCAATCACTGTTGTCATTTTCAATTTTCTTTTATACATGTCTCATTTCTATGATCATTATGTTGAATATTGAGTGTATCTTGGACTCCTTTGCTGTATCCTTATATGTTACCGCTGCTGCTGGTGCTGTTGTTTGTTTGTTTTTGTTTTTTTCTCCTGAAGAGGGCGTTTGAGCCAGTAAAGTTTGTCATTTACTTGAAAATTTGATTTTATTATGTTTGAGTGATCCTTAAAATGAATAACTTGTAAGCGAACAATATCATAGGTTATTCTGCGAAGGTGGTTTGATAATTTACAAATAAGAGTATTGGTTGGTTGAACAGAAATCCAAAAATAGAACTCCACTTAATCTTCTAGGACAGCTATGCTCCCTACTCTAGTTGGCCACTATGTCCACGTCTTATTACTTTAAACTCATATTGAATTTCAAGCCTCTCTGCAGAAACTCAAAAGATTATCTGCATGAATCATGAGTAAATTTAGTCTAGAGATGACTGGTAAATCAAAATTTGGGCTTTGAGATGCAAAATGTAAGAAAAAATATAAGGGGATGAAAAATACTAAGAAAAACAAGGTTTTATAGTTTTGGGTTGAGGCAATTAACATGATTTTGATGTTGAAATAGAATTAGATACTTTATGAATTGGATCGACAATTTGTTTTGCCAACAATATATTGTAAAATTTCCAGCCTCACTTTTGCTTTAATGGCTGCAGAATGTTGGTATTTTTGGTTATTCGAGAAAGAATTTGAAGGATGAAGATCTCAGATCCATGATAGCATCAACTTTAACTTGCCGCATTGATCATCAGTACGGTCCTCGTTTCAGATAATCTTGAATTATTCTTTTATGTTTCCTCATAAACAAATTTCTTATTTAAACCCTTCAACTTATTAATTTCCAGAAGAAAATTGTGGCATGCATCAAAATTCTGTAGGTTGCTTACTTTCCATTTGGCTTGCGGAGCAGATTAAAACTTGTAGCTGACAGATTTTGCAAGAGTCTATAATTTTGTGCATTTAATCATTTCATTAAAAACTTTCAACAGAAAGAGATTGCCCTCTTTCAACTTTCTGAAAAAGATAAAAATAATCAGTAGCATTGTGGATGGCTTGCATAACTCCTGGCTTGTCCTTATATTTTGTGGGTGGAAGTGTTTTATTTTACTATAACATTGAAGTGCATACAGCCAGAAGCCAATTAGCTAATTAGTTGAGATTCAAGTGCAACAGCAAACTACGTCTTCAATCTAATTTTTTGTCTTTTAACACAAATCCTTATTGGATTTTTGGTGTATACAGAGTGGAGCGCACACACACATGGATAATTGCATATATAGTAGTTTTATATTAAATGTTCAATTTTTATTAACCAAGAATAGAAAGTATTACTCTGCTGCAGGCAAAATTGTGAGGACAAACTGGATGCTTTTCTTAGTAGAACATACTATCTGAACGGAGGTCATGACAACATGGAAGGGATGTCAAAGCTCCATACCCGGATGGAGCAGATTGAGGTAATCTTAGAGTAAAAGAGATCAGGTCAATAGTTTGGAGAACCACCTGATGCTCGATCAGCCTCTAATAAGTCCTAATTGTACAGTTTGGAGGCTTTTGGTAATTGATTCTTTAACAGCTTGCTTACCTCAGGGGCAATCTGAAGCAAACAGAATCTTTTACCTTTCTGTGCCACAAGAAGCACTTCTAGATGTTGCATCCTCTCTTGGTGATAATGCTCAAACACAGAAGGGCTGGAATCGTGTAATAATTAAGAAACCCTTCCGTTTTCATTCACGGTCTTCTATTCTATTTTTCTTTTAATTCTTTCTTTATTTATTTTTTGGGAGGGGGATCCACTTGCATTATGCTTATTACTAGATAATTACTGTCTGTATATATTAACTTTATAAATTTGGTTTATGTTTGTATTAGGCTTGCATTATAGAATTTCTTCACCCATATGAACTTTATTACGTAGAGTGGAGATACGTATACAGTTTCATCATGTTCCTGGAAGCATATATCGTGATCGCATAGGGCACAACATTGATCTTGCCACTAATGAGCTGATTTTACGTGACGTTCCCAATGAAGCAATCCTACTCAAGGTTAACAATAAAATTCCAGGATTAGGCTTGGTGTTGGATGCTTCAGAACTGAATTTGCTATACAAGGATAAGTAAGCTGTTTATTGCTGTGAAACTTTTGCTCCTTGTGCACATTTCCACATTTATCTCAAGACCTCATTTCCATTGTGTTAATACTTTAGGTATAATGTGGAAGTACCTGATTCATATGAGCAGCTGCTTCTTGATGTCATTGACGGAGACAACCATCTATTTATGAGAAGCGATGAGGTTACTGCTGCATGGAATATTTTGTCTCCGGTTTTGGATGAGATAGACAAGAGCAATATAGCACCGGAACTGTACGAGCTGGGGGGTAGAGGTCCAGTTGAAGCCTTCTATCTCTGGGCAAAACACGGGGTTCGATGGGTAGAAGACTAGCAAAACTCACAGATTTTTGTGTTCTAATCTTCACCATGGTGACGAAAAACAACTGGAACGGTCTTCCCAACATCATGCTAAATAGATGAGTGAGAAAGTGCCTTTCCTGGTAACGTTTGGTGGGGTTTATTCTGATGATCTATTGTGCTAAATGTTCATGTTCCACATACACAGATTTTCTAGGTGGTAGAAAGATTACATAATCCCCACTTTAATACGAAGAATATATGTATTGCGCCTGACAAACGGAACTCTTGAGCTGAACTGATCCTGAAATCTGAACAGGTATGTTAGGTACCTTATTTTGATATATACTCTCCTTCAACAAATACTCCACCCATCTCAAAATAAGTGTTCCTTTTTTATAATCTAATTTTTTAAAGAGAATGTTTTTTATTATTTTTTATTGTATTAACAGTGAGTGAATTACCAAATTTACCCTAATAGGGTCCAGTGATGTCAGATGTGAAAGTTTATTTTTATAGATTTAAAGTTAGAAGATTAAATTGGTAATATTATAAAAAATAAATAAATAGATAAATAACACATTGACTTTTCAAAGGGGCACACTTATTTTGGGATTTATTTTTATTTATTTATTTTTTTTAATGTTTGTAAAAAAGAGTGCTAAATCAATTGCTTAAGTAAATTGCTCTAAATTGCTTAAGCGTTGGTGTGTCAGCGTGCGGTTATTTGTGCTTTCAATTTGGATTTTTCTTGCTTATGGTTTGAATCGGATGCCAAAGTTGTTGTGGATGGGGTGTTATGTGATAAGACTTGTCCGTCAGCAATTGCTTCTCTATGTTTTGACATTAATAGGGACTTGAGGCGATTTTCATCTCTTAAGTTGACTTGTGTGTGGCTAGTGTAATCGGGTGGCTCATGCTTTGGCAGTTTTGTCGCTGCCTGGGCTTGTGTCAGACCAGTTGTTGTTTTCTCTTCTTCCTTCCGTTGTCCCTTTTGCGGTGGCGGATGTTGGGTTTTAGTTGGTTGTGGTAGTTTTTGCTTCCTTTGTTGTGGTTGTCTTTGCCTTGGAAAAAAAAATAATAATAATAAATAAATAAATTGCTCTAAATCCCGAAAATCCAGGAGGGGAAAAAAAGAAAAGAAATATCAGAATAAAAACCTTGCAAGACAGATCTGTTTTGGATGTACATTAGTGTCACGTCAACACGAGACTATCAATTAAGCCATTGAATACATGGTCTTGACCAATCACCATACATATATGTATGTATGTATGCATGTATGATATAGAAGGAAAAAGGGAAAACTTGGGTGTGTTGTTGTGATTGGTAGGACCATGTTGTCTCAAATTATTTAAAGAATTTTCGGTCATTCAGGAAGGAAGGTGTATTAGTCTTCACTTTTAGGTGATGCATTTCTTTCTTTTGTTAAAAACTTAAAATGAAAGGAATGAGAGATTTTTTATATTTTTTTTTACTAGTATACCCTCATTATATAGATTGATACACAATAATTTTGACAGAAAATATTGTCAATTTATTCCTTCTTTCTTTCCTTGGGTTCACTTCCAAAGGAGTAAAAATTTGTGGGACAAGAATGACGGCCCATTTTTCTTTTCTCCTCTTTACTTCCCTTCTTGTTTTCTTCCTTTCCACCATCTTTTATACCAAACAATTTACTTTAAAATTTGTGGGACAAGAAGGAAGAAAATTTACTCATCTTTTTTTTTTTTTTTTTTTAATCTTTCCTTTGCCCTTTCTTACCAAACAATTTACACCTTTTTTTTTTTTTTTTTGTCAAAAGTGCAAAAAAATATTTGAATGATCACCAAACGTGAAAATTATCCCCCTAAATTATCTAGGGTTGTAAATCGAATGCTCAATCTATTCCAACGTTGCAAAAATGACCTTCCCGATCACTGGATCACATTTTTCGACGTTGTTCATTCACGGGTAGGTATATTTTTAAATAATGTCTAAATTATCCTTTTGAATGACTATTATACCTTTGACAAAAGTACAAAAAACCCTCTGAACCATCAAGAATGTGAAAAATAACCCTTGAACTATCTCGGGTTGCAAATCAAACCATGAACTATACAACTTATTTTTTTTTTATTATTTCAAATTATTATTATTATTATTATTAGTACCACCACTATTATTATTATTATTAAAACTATTTTTTTTTGATAATTTATGTATTTATTATTATACTACTACTACTATTAGTTATTATTATTATTATTATTATTATTATTATTATTTTTTAATAATTTATGAGCTTGCAAAAATTATTTATAGGTATATGGATCCATGAAATAACTAATCAATCAATTTATTTTTGTTATTGTGGGGAAGAAATCCGCACGGCTTGGTACGACACCGTTTCCTGCAAAACTAAGATGATTAAGTCAGTGACCAGTGTGGTGCCGGTCGAAGACACTCTGACGATCAAGTTAATAGGGGTTTAGAGAGAAAATAAAATCGTTGTTAAGTGGGAGTTTTTCTCATACTTTCTTTAATGGCTTGATGCTTTATTTATGTTTATCGATTGGAATTAAGTTGGTTCAATTGATGTTAATGGTTGAGATTTACTTTATCATCCGATTTCATTTATCCTGTAAATATAATGATAACATGTTTGACGAGAAAAAGTGGTAGGTTATTTTTTTCCCATCAGTTATTATTTTACATTTTTATTATTATTACTACTACTACTATTATTATTATTATTAGTTATTATTCTTTTTATTGTTAATTCGCAGGCATAAAATGATTTACATATCTTGCAACTAAGCAATATATTTTTGTTATGACCTATTTGGTATTATGGATATTTTACACTTCTTGATATTATACAATTTTTATATAAATTAATAAGTGGGTTTTTTTTTTTTTTTTTTAAATAGTAATTTTGACCCTCTGGACTAGATTGGACGCTAAAAAATGTGGTCCGATATCAAGAGGGTTCTTTTTACAAGGTTGACATAGATGAGGGTTCTAGTTCAGAGGGTATTTTTCACTCTATAGTTCATAAGTATTTTTTTCACTTTTGCCCACTGTTTTCAGAACTTGTATCCTTATCAATTTTAAATTTAAAGTCTGAATTCGAATTGAAATTCAAATGCGATTGAAGTTTGGCTGGGATTTGGCATTAAATTCAATATCCACTTGGATCGATCATTATATCCATGTGATCCCATCCAAAGAAGAAAAAGAAGAAAGAGGAGTCAGACGACTCGTGAGGGATGATGGGTTCGTAATAGGGAATTGGGGAAAAACGCGTGGGGACGTGATGACGTACGAAAGCATTCCCATCAACATGAGCAAAGACGTCACATATATATACATATACTGTATCTATATATCAATGTCAGGTAGAGAGTATGGGCTCTGTCACGTAGAGTTGGTGGGGAAACGTTAGGTTACGGGCCATATTACCCTAAACATGCAGATTCTTCTGCCACCCACCCATCGAATCAATTTTTGGAAAATGATAAACAACCTTTTTTGTTATCCTGGTGTGAAATCTTCCACAAAAACACGGCAACAGTACTGAAATTTTAAGGGAAAATTACATATAAATGGAGTCAAAATTTCATATTTATTTAGAGGCTGAGTCAAAGTTCCATATTTCTCTAAAATGGATTGCTGAGGTGGCACATGGTTTTTTACTGTTTAGAAATTGTGGTGCCTAAAATACCTTTCCGCGAAGGTACTACTTTTTCTTCGAAGGTACTACTTTTTTGAACTGAAGGTACTACTTTTTGGTGTCCAGGTACCATATTTTTTAAACACCCGCGAAGGTACTACTTTTTCTTCGAAGATACTACTTTTTTGAACTGAAGGTACTACTTTTTTGAACTGAAGGTACTACTTTTTTATTAGGGAAGGACATTTTAGGCACCACAATTTTCTAAACAGTAAAAAACTATGTGCCACCTCAGCAATCCATTTTAGAGAAATATGGTACTTTGACTCAGTCTCTAAGTAAATATGAAACTTTAACTCCATTTATATGTAATTTTTCCAAATTTTAATCCTGTGATACATATATATATATATATATATATATATATATATATATATTTGTATTTTTCTGTTTCTATCGATGCACTAAAAACCTTCCCCGTTTGAAGAGGAGATATTATAATTTGTGTAGAATATTTGATAGGATTTTGTTACCAATTAATGTGAAAAAAGTTACACTTATTTCACATTATTAATTAAAATTACACAAAAAAAAAATAATTATATGATTATCTACAGAAAATAATGATAAAAAATTACATAAACCAATTGAAATTATCCGAATTTCATATTTCAAATAAGTTGAAAATATTTGAAGAGAAAATTGAAATTAGGACGTCACCATACGTGCGTGGGTGTGTCCGCGCACCTTCGGGAAACCGTGACTCTTCCTCTCTCTCACTCTCTATATATAAAGTAGTCTCAACTGCAAGTTGTTCACCAGTCAACAAGCAAACATTATGGTACTCTTCTTTCTCTCTCTAACCTTTTGCGTTTCTTTGGTGCATTACATATAAGTTATATAACAATTTGTTTTGTTTTTGTTTTTGATTTTGAAAGGTTATGTAAAACAATATTGTGTAGTATGGATGGGGAAAGAAGGAAGAGAAAGGTGGAGGACGAAGAAGACGAGGAGGAGAAGATGGAGAAGTTTTTTGCTCTGATCAGAAATATCCGAGAGGTGCGTGACCGAATGACCACCGGCGGCGGAGACACCACGAAGAAGGCGGCGGCAGCGGAGGAGAAGAGGGTTGCCGTTTGGAAGCCGGCGTTCATACCGGAGGATTTCATGGAGGATTTTGGTGATCTGTCTAAAGGTGGTAAGGCAGCAACCGTAGCAATGACGGCTGCAGGTCCTTCTAAGAAGAGTGAAGATGAACATAAAGTAGAAGATAAAGGAGGTGGTGGCGGCGGCGGTGGTGATGGCGGTGGTGGCGGCGGCTTAGACCTCAACCTTTCTCTCTAATGTTTTTAATTAGTTTTGTTACTGACCATCATTGAGGCTGTACTGGTCCATTACAGATTTATAAATTCAAAATGACTAATTTCTGAATTTAATATGAAATAGGGATCTATCTGCTTGATCATTTTCACAGAAATTGCATTTCACACCAACCTTTTTTTTTAATCATGGATGCAAAATTAGTTGAATTACCTCGATCTATGGTTCTATATGTAACATATCAAGCTTATATATCAAGTGAGATTGATATGTTATATATAGCAGCATAGATCGAGTTTACAGAAGAATCATTAATGAAATTGATCGAATTTACTTGAAGAATCATTAATGAAATTGGTAGATACTGCTGCATATCTATTTTTATATAATTAAAATGTCTATTTTTATACAATTAAATTTTTTTTTTCATCCGGCCCTAATATGAGACAAGAATGCATATCTATTCTTGCACGATTTTTATCCGAACCTCTGACACTGTCTTCGTATTGTTTTGTCATCCTAAAGTAAAATGGAGTATATGCACTATCTTGTAACTAATACAATAATGGTGTGACCAACAAGGTCCCACAGAGTAATCCTCTCCGTAAGACACTTGAACTCCCTACGGAGGAGTTGGTCCACTGCCTCTTATGGTCCGTTTGGATGACGATAACGTTATATGTTATGTTTTGGTATGATATAAAAACAACCGTTTTGGAATTGATATATTTTTATAAAAATTATATATATGAATACAAAAAAATTATAAGTTTATATGTAAAATAGTCCATTTTTCTTTATGATTTGAGATCATTTGTGAGAAAAAAAAAAAAAAAATTCTGTATTAGAGTTAGGAAATTTTTTTTGGTTAAATTTACATGTATAATGGCAACCAAACTACTTTATAATAATGAATAAATCTGCATAAATATGATTAATGGCAACCAAATTACAAATCTAACTTTGTAATAATCTTTCAATGAGACTAGATCTTTGCACTCCATTTATCTTTTTCTTTTGGCTTGCATTTCATTTAACTTTGTTTTGTTTCATATATATATATATATATATATATATATATATATATATATATATATTCATGATGAATGTGAGAGAGAGAGAGATCCTTGTAGTTGAAACTAACAAGAAACAAAGTCAAAACGTTAATCGTCTTGAATTGGTCAGAGTTGAAATTTGGTGAACATTGAAGCTTGTGAATAGTTTTACTTCACTTAGATTAGTTTGAAATTTTGTAGTGGAGGTCTTTTAAATTGGTAATATTTTTTTTTGTTTAGTCATAGGACCATTTCCTCTTTTGTTGAGTATTTATTTTGATAACGGACTTGTGAATATTTCATACAATATCCAACCACAAGCAGAATTGATAAATATGAATAAAGATTAAAAGCAAGCAATTAAGGAAGATCCCTCTTATAAGACTGAATAACATTCACATATATACTTCCACGTATAGTTTTGCTTTATACATCACAATCTTAAGAACTTGAGTGTTGCATCATTCACATATATACTTCCACATATAAGGAGCTAGACATTCCTTTAAAATAGTATATGTGTACACACACACACACTTCATTACACTTACATAAAATGTATACACAACTGGAGATCACTAATATTCATTCCATAAAATGTACACCCACTTTTTTATACTTACATAGGCCTCCATTTGATTAACTTAGAGATCACTAACTTTCTGGAGTTGCAGCAACTGGAGAATGCTTCCTATCAATCCCACTGGTGCCACTGCCTATAACTTACTGCCATGTCCTTTAATGTAGTAGCAAAAAATAAATTTGAATGTAAAACAAGACATTACCTATAGTGGCAAAATATAAAGCAGAGTTAAATTCAATTTTTTTTATTATTATTTTTAAAAATCCGGCATGACTTCTCCTTAAAAATGGACATTTCCAAAATTTCAAACACAATAAACTCAAGGGATACCGCCCACAAAATTAATTCAATAAGGGACACCGCACATAAAATTCATTTAATAAGGGACACCGCCCATAAAATTATTTCAATAAGGGACACCGCCCACAAAATTCAATTAACAAGGGACACCATCCACAAATTTAATTCAAGCAAGACATATCTAACCTTCTTTCTGGCTAAGCTGCAAATTTGGAGTGTAAATGATCTCATGCAAAACAAAACACATGAACAACATTAGAGAAAAACAAAATAACACACGGTAGGAATGAAATAATTAGAAGTAGTAAACAAGATATATCTAACCTTTTTTCAGGCTAAGCTGCAAATTTGGAGTGTAAATGACCTCATGCAAAAACAAAACACATGAACAACATTAGATAAAAACAAAATAACACACGGTAGGAATGAAATAATTAGAAGTAGTAAACAAGATATATCTAACATTTTTTCAGGCTTAGTTGTAAATTTAAAGTGTAAATGACCTCATGCAAAACCAAACACATGAATAACATTAGAGAAAAACAAAATAACACACGGTAGGAATGAAATAATTAGAAGTAGTAAATAAGATATATCTAACCTTTTTTCAGGCTTAGTTGTAAATTTAAAGTGTAAATGACCTCATGCAAAACAAAAGACATGAACAACATTAGAGAAAAACAAAATAACACACGGTAGGAATGAAATAATTAGAAGTAGTAAACAAGATATATCTAACCTTTTTTTTTTTTTCTTCTCTAATGTTGCAAATAGAGTGTAAATGACCTCAGTAGCAAATTTTACAAATGCCCTAAAGCTTACTCCCAAAATGACAGAGAAGAGAACACAACAGCAACTAATACGCAGTCCAAAATATACCATTTAAGTATATATTACATACCAAATTAAACACAGGAAATTAACTAAATACGTATTACATGTCATATATTACAAAAGATGGAAGTTTATCTAACTTCATCTTTCAATAACAACGATAATGAGCAACAAGAGGACAATGACAATAAACATGATTGTGATAGCAAGACATCCACAACCTAGGAAGAGCATGTACTTCTATCTACATTGTTCATTTTGAATCATTGCAATGACTCTGTCCAAGTCAGATTGAACCTGTTCTTTAACTTTTGCACCTTGGTGCAACTCATCCACCCACATAAATGCATTCATATGTGACTACAAGAAATATAAATTATACAATTAGGAAACAGTAACAGAAATAGCACCTAAAAGTAATTGACCATACCTCCCGAGCTGAACACCTATAGAATTGTCAACCATCATTTTTTGGAGTTCGAGCCCTATACAGATGCATAAGACCTCTACCACATGCACATTGTGGTCGCTCACCTTCAAGCCTATACATAAGTGCGTCTACAAGTACTAAAGTATTTAATATTTGATGTTCTAATATAATTAGTTATTACAGTTATCCATAAATAAGGAGCATCTGAGTTTAATTTACGTAATATAATTAGTTATTACAGTCATCAATATTTTAATTCTACACACTATTAGACAGTTTTATAATTAGTGATTACAGTGCTCCCAAATTAGGTTGGCAATACCATCACGATAAATATCCATCTGTCGTATTTGTGTATTAGTAGCACTGACCACCTGAACATCGTCATCCACATCAGGTTCATTTTGTGAAGATTGAGGGGTTTCAGAATAAAAAATTTCATCAGATTTACCTTGGGATCTTATGAAATTATGCAATGTACAACAGGCAATGACAATAAGAACTTGAGTGTCAAAGTGATAAGGGGGCATTTGCTTCAATATAGCGAATCTTATCTTTACCAACCCAAAACATTGCTCTATGATATTCCTCAATGACGAGTGCCTAAAATTGTATACCTCTTCTCCACGTGGTCCTCTAGTATGTCTACGATATTCCTGCATATGGTAACGTTGACCTCAGTAAGGGGCCAAAAACCCCGGTTGATTGGCGTACCCAGAGTCGACTAAATAAAACTTACTTGTCATGTTAAGTATTAAAATTAACGTATTTGTAATGTTAAATGCACAAATATGGAAAGGTAATACTTTTACCTTCGGGTGGTCATGGAAAATTGAAATCCTCATTCTGAATGCACTCATTTAAAATCTTCGAATCATTAGCAGACCCTTCCTACCCTGCTAGAATGTATGTGAATTTCATATCAAATGAACACACAGCCATGACATTTTGGGTCGTATCACCCTTTCTACCACGAAAGGGTATTTGTTGGTCAACTGGCACTACAACATGGATATGAGTACCATCTATGGCTCCTACACAATTCTTAAAGTATGGGTAAAACTTTGGATTGTTCTTTATCTCTTTAGGAATTTCATTCAAATTCGGGGGAACAATAATCTTAGTCCCTAACTCACAAATTAACTTTAATACAGTATGAAAGTGATATGAAATTGTGGATGTAAAGTGTTGGAATCTTTCAGCAACGACACGATTCCTTTCATTGTGAGACACGGTAAGTAGGAAAATTGCAACTTGTTCTTCTACAGTTAGAAATGTTGAATCTTTTAATCCTAACAATTTCAAGTCACGACACAATGCCCTAAAGGTATTGGGGTACATCCGAAAATTTTCATAACACCTATCTTCATGTCCATTTAAGACCTCGAATATGTAATCTTCCCCTTGTAACATGGAATCCCTACAACGTTGCTTATCAAAATGTTTATAATAGTACTCATATACGGCTGCGATCAATACAAGAATTTCCTCCTCATCATCATCATCATAAATGGTTAATATTGTCCTTATATCCATAGCTACTATCCTATTTAAGAATAAACAGAAGCAGTTATTGTAACAAAAATTAAGCAAAATGAAAAAGACATACCAAATCATACAATTATCCAGCAATAATGTAAAAGCAATAGATGTAGAACATAAATAGTTTTCCAGCATTAATTTAAAAGCAGTAGATAGAGGAATTAAATATAGTCTTCCAACAATAATGTAAAAGCAGTAGATAAGAAAACTTCATTACAGTCATCCAACAGTAATGTAAAAGCAGTTATAAAACAGTCATCCAAAAGCATATAAAAGTAAGATACCGAAGAAATCATAGAGTCTGATTCATCACCCACCCAACCTTCCTTTCATCAGGAATGCGAAGAAATATGTCCCTCCACACCTTGTCCTTACCAAACATCTTTATGATCTTAGCATAATGGGTATCATCAATCCCC